TTTTTTTTAATGTTAGCAGAATAATAGAAATTTAAAAATCCCATATTACAAGAAGAACAAAAGGAACAAAAAGTACGCTTTAGAATTTCACCCCGATTAAGTCTTTCGACATAACTTACCAGTCACCTGGAGTGCCAAAGTCACTGCTCCATTGTCATCTGGACAACAGGAAAACATACAGCAGGTTAAAGCAGAAAAAAACTGTTCAGACGATCAAAAGCAACATTATCTAAAGGTGGAACTCACCAAGCAGGTTTTGTCTGTCTCTGGTCTGTGCTTCACAAGCTCTTCCAACTTCAGCTCATCTTCTAGCTGCTGCTCCAGACTGTTTTCAAAACTTTCTTCTTCTCGTGCTCTAACAGGCCTGAGATACGTAAAAACAAATCACATAGAATAAAAAAGAAGACTCATCTTCGGCATATTTGATACCAAACGTTTGTGTATATTCTCATGTGTTAATGCTTTTTTAAACCACCGATTGACACATTGGCCAATAGTTAGATTCTTCTAATCAGTAAAGCTATGTAGTGGATACCTTGGTTTATATGTGAAGTAAAAGTCTGACGAAGTCGTAGCCATCAGGTCACAGCGTCCAAAGTCAGAATCCAAGAGGCTCTCTGTCTCACTGCCACCCTCTGTAGAAATAAAAAATAGAATCAGAAAAAGCCATTGTTTCAAAATCAATGCTTTCTTATTTATCTTTACCTGAATTTAGCTCCTTAACAAGGGATGACATTGTGTTGGTTATGGAGTCAGCAGCAATGAGAAGATCGTTTCTCAGATTTCTCCTCGGACCTTTCAAAAAAAGTCAAGGGGTTTCAATGTGATTTCTCTGGGTTTTCACAAAGAAAAAGGCAGATGGTGCAGTGTTACCCTGAGCGAAGGCCTCCTGAACGTCCCCTCCCACGCCCATAAGCGAGTCCTGAGGTGTGTGAGTCGGGGTGGTGCCGGCGGAGTCCGAGTGAATTGGCGTGGGGATCGTCCGGCTGATGGTGTGGCTGGGAGAGGAGCGTGGAGAGCCAGGACCCTGAGTCTGCAGAGCAACATTTACTAAAATGAATACATATAGAATTGCATAAGTCTAATTGCTCTTGTGGCATCTTAAGTCAAGCTTTCTGAAAAGCAAGAACCAAGACAAATGTAACCCAATTAAAATATATGAAGCAGTAGAGCTGCATATAAAGGTGCATAGTCAGTTTTTTGACAATTTCTTGGCAAGTAAATCAATCTGGTTGTATACAATTTTTTTCTGAAAGATTACCACATCCTGCTGGTGTAATATTTGCCACCTCTGTCAAGGAGGGTACGTTTTTAGGAGAGTTTGTGTTTGTTTGTCTCTCTTTGTACAGAAAAATTTGAAAAGTTTTGAAAGGATTATAATGTTGTTTTTATCAGAGCTGTCCATCATACCAATGAAGGATCCATTACACTTTTGGTTATGATCCAGATAATAATCTGGATACAGGAATTTTTTTAAATATTCTCTTACATTGTGAAATAGGGATATGTGGCGGAACAAGCAGTTCCCCACTAAACCAGAGGGTGGCAGCAGTGACTATTGACAGACTCAGCATATTTAACTGAAGACAACACAAGAAAAAGGAATGTTGCTTTTTTAGCCCATGACAGAGCTACTTTACTGAATATAAAACAAAACCATTTGAAATGTTGAGGCCAACATGTATTAATCACGCACATACATCCAGGCTCATTTCTACACTTACACTTTGTTTTCATTTCTCTTTAAGCTAAAATAAATAAAAAAAAAAAACAAACTAAACTACTCTTAGTATTTTTTTTTATAAAGACAGTATGCCTTCAAAAGCCTGCCTGATGTTTTTTTTGTTTTTTTTTCTCAAAGCCGTGGTAAGCATGCGGCTTCCTGGAGCAAGTTTAATGAATTAACATTGATCCGTTAAGACTTTTTCCCCCCTCTCTCCGTTAAGGCTAATTAGATTGATATCCTCTCTCTTAAGCCAGCATAGGAAGTGGTTTATGTGGGGTTTGAAGAGCTCCAGCACTGTTGTGGCTAGAAAACAAGCTACAGATTTGTTATACCAAAGGTTTGTTATTCACAACTGATTTCTGACATCAAAAAAAATCTTATGCCTTGATAGTAGAGCTGCACATAATATATTATGAATTTATAATTTTCCTGAGTTACAACATAATTTCTAAAGAAAAACATAAATAATTTTTTTAATCTTCTGTAGCTAATAAAAAAAGTTTGTTTGGATTTTATTTGTTGAAGTTTAATGCTGTCTCATGGGATTTTTCGTAATATTACAAAAAGCGTCAGGTTCTAGAAGTAGAGCAAGTATACAAATGTGTAATAAAATATAAAATAATCACTTGTGAAATTTTTCACCAACTGCCTTAAAAAATAAGAACACAACCCAAAAGCTGCTAAAAAGGGTTTCACAGGATCATCATCTAGATTCCCCCTGCAATAAAACATTTTTCATAAAATTGGCCAGGCTATCTGTACTTATCTAGCCGAGTAGGCCTACTTGATTTAACAACAAACCTTGAATATGTACTCCTCCAGTGAACATGAAGTCATCTAACCTGCTTTCTGTTTTTGGCTACACTGTAGTGCTCTCAAATAGATGACAGGCAACATCTGTAGTACCTTGAGAAGCATCATTAGTTGCTCCAGCTGCACCATGAGCTCCCTGCGACTCTCCTGCAGAGATGACATTCTTTGTTCGAGCTCATCTTTGCGTTGCCTAACAGAAGACACAAGTTATGACAAAAATAAGATGTTCTTTCCATAGGAATAAAAAAAACATTTACAGAAGGAAACACATCTTAAAGGTATAGTGGAGGATGTTCTTTTTCTGGGTGGATCATTAAAATAACTGGTCCTCCTAATTGTCAGTCATTCTGGTATTATGTTTACATAAGGCTGTCCTACGTACTCATCCCCATTTTTACTAACCTTTGGTGAGACTGACATAGTCGAAAAATTGCAAATCTTCTTTTGGAAAGTAAGCTTGTATGAGCGATGCAAACAAAAACTTATAAACAGAGAGTCCATGAGGAGAAATGGGCATGTGCTTGCTCTCGCAAACCTTTTACAGGCGTTTCCTCTCAGGAGCTGGGACAAGGTTGTGCATGTGCATTTTTTTTTTTTAAAGGGAGAACGGGTCTTTTAAAAAAAATCATGAAAATCCTCCACTATACCTTTAATTCATCTTTTACATGATTGCTTCATCAGCCTCACCTGCATTGGCTTGATTAAAAGTTACCTGAGAAGTCGTAGCTCGGCTAGCAGGGTGGGGTTCTGCTGACCCCTGTCAGGTGGCGGCTGGGAAGCTTCCTCGTGCTGAAGACGCAGCCTCTGGATTTCCTGCAGGATTTCCCTTCAGCAAACATATCACAGTTTACTTTCTGTTCTGATGGAGCACACAATTTAAAAGGCTTAAATGATAACTAAATAAGTGTTGTTTCTTTATTGTCACTAGGGGGCAGCATAAACAAGCTGTAACGATAAAACATTTGAGGTGGTGTGTCCAAAAGTTGAACAAACCCATTGAACTATATTCACTGATTACGTTCTTTCAAACTAGATGCAGGACAGGATGGTAAAAACATTTTTTTTTTAATATTATAAAAAAGAAATTATGTCGGTAAATATTTTAAACACTGACCAAAACAGCAAAGGTTTTAGAAGATTTACCTGTAACCCTATTTAACATTGTGACAAAGAATTTGCTTGGAATCCTGCCTTCCAGACAAGGACCTCCCTATTGGCCAAGTATTAGTGTACTAAAAATACCGCAGCTGAAAATGTTTTATTATTTATACCTGACCTTTTGTACATGGTCTTTATTTAAAACTGTGCTCAGCTCATAGGTTAAAATCTATTGGCAAAATGAAACACTGCTAAAAACCTACTGATTATTATCAGTACAAGTATTACAGAAAAAATATTATAAAACATATTAATGTTCAAAGCAGAAAAGTAGCAATCTTAAAAAACAAAAGGCCTTTGAAGCGATCAGTTTCTTTGAAACAGGAAAAATATGATGTAGATCTGCTGCTTCTATTATAACAATGGAAACAAACTTCTTTAATTTTTTGAAAGAGAGACCCTTTTATCAGAAATGAGTGTGTGACAATTGACAATAAGAGAAAAAAAGGTTGACTGAGCACTTTTGCTATGAAGATTCCAAATGCAGAGAGCAAGGGTGAGCTTCATGGCGGTAAAGATGAATTTATCTTCACCAAACAACATCATCATTGGCACAGTTCATGCCTTGGCTAGGGTATATCTATCAATCCGGGGTTAGAGCAAAGAAGTAATACAAACTTTTTTGTGAGCATAACGTTTATCACATAAAAACTAGGGGTGTAAATCACACCCATCATGGCGCTACGATTCAGTATCAATTTCCTGACCCAACGATTCGACTATTTTCGATACTCAAGAATACATAATCTTCTTTTTCCTCCGCCACATCTGTCTTGCCTACCTCTTCTTTCACCTCCGCTATCTCTGCTGTGTCTGTCTTGCCTACTGTTTATGCGAATGTGTGCAAGCGGAAAGAGGGTAGTGGCAAAAGGAAGCGAGATAGGAGGGCAAAATAGGTTTAGCGCCACCGCAGCACAGGAGTCAGAATTATGTCCATGAGGAAAGGGATAAAAATTGACAAGAAGAAAAAAAAAACAAATGAATCAATACTCTTGTGGAAGTGTCGATGCATCGGATCGTCGGCTATTGGAATGATGCATCAATAAAAAACTGTTATTATTTACAACCCTGATAAAAACATGCATCATTAAATACCAGTTTTTAATTTTTTGTTTTTTTCCCTGCTGACATGGTTGTATGGTGTAAGTGTTGATGCATCTCTGTTCACATTAGTGAACAAGCATTAGCAAATACCATTAAATATAGTATATCCATTTTAATACAAAAATTCTTTGTTCTGGATCACATTTTTTTAAAAGCACACATTTAACAGTGTGTTAAATTACAGACAGATCCTAGGTGTGCTTGTATTTAAACTCCCTTTGTCAGAACTATTTTTTGACCTCCTTCTCTTTATAAGAGATTGCTGCTGTAAACCAAAATTCAATCAAGAGCCTTTAGGATCCCTTCTAGATCAGACATTTATACACTGATGCCATATTCAATATTATGAATGTCTTCTTGCTCTTTTATTTTTACATGTCTGTGTTTTGGCCATGGAAAGTAACATAAATGTCATGAACTGTGCATATATATATATTTAAAAAAAGCATTCAAAAAGATGATGTGTGTTTTTTGCAATGAAATGATTTTTTTTTTTTTACAGAGACAATAATTTCTAACCTGTTTTTGTTCTCCAACTCTGCAATGAGTTGCCTTTGCTGTTTGTTGACATCCAGAGAGTAAGGGAGGTCTGTGGGGACCCTCTGCTGTTGAGCCTGGTGGTTAAAGCATGCAAGAGACACCACATGAGGCAGCTTTTACTCAGGTGATGTCATCCTTTGGCTTATATCATATTTCATACCAGGCTGTAAAGCTGTTAAGTCACCAGTAATACCAATACTACTCATATCTACCTAAAAACAATTACACTCATGCCAGTAAAGAAGACAGAAAACTCTCTAAAATGGACTAACACTATATGATAATGCCTTTCTGTTTTTAAGGAAATTTTTTTGCACCACGCAGCAAGGAAAGATGCTCTACTATGTGTGTGCAATAAAAATCCTATATGCTGTATATCTCACCGCAGCATCAGCAGCCAGCCTAGCAGCATAGCGAGCAATGAGACTGTGCTCCTCGTCTTGATGGTTACTACTTTCCAGCAAACTGCCCAAGAGGAAAATAGAGAGTCACAACAAGACACAATTAATACTGCAGTGCTCTGTGTAGAAAAAAAAAAGACATGCATAATAGGAAAAAAAAGGGTTTGCGTTTGTTTAAAGAGTCTGATTAGTTTAAGGAAGCTTCAGACAGTCCACAAAATGATTGGAATGCACACAACCGTATGAAGTATCTTTAATAAGTGCAGATGAGCACATCTATTGGTCTGTTAGAAATTCCCCATAGAGCAGAAAACGTAGGTTAATATTCACACACACACACACACACACACACACACACACACACACACACACACACACACACACACATACAGACTCAGAATTGCATAACTGCAAAAACAGATACAATTATTCTTTTTTTTTATTTTTTTACATAACCACAAAATGCATTTCATTGGAATGTATGTGATTAGGTTGTTCATAAGTCCCAGCTGAAAGGTAGAAAACCATCCACGATTTTCAGCGCTTAATAAAAGTGTAGCATGTGTTTATATTCGTGCAGAAGCACCTTTCATTTTACTTGGAGATACTAGTCTTTTGGAACAAGTCTCTACTAGCTTTGCACATCCAGAGTTTGTTCTCTTAGACCTCAGTCTGGTTAGATAGCAAGTGTGTCTAAACAACATTTTTTTCAGGTCCTGCAACAACTTCATTGATTTAGGTGTGGACTTTAATGGTATAGTGGAGGATGTTATTTTTCAGGTGGATCATCAAAATAAGTGGTCCTCCATTGTCAATCATTCTAGTGATATGTTTACGTAAGGCCGTCCTACGTGTTCGTCCCAATTTTCACTTACTGTTGGTGAGTAACTCACCAACAGTAAGTGAAAATTGCAAATCTTCTTTAGGATAGTAAGCTTGTATGAGCGATGCAAACAGAAACTTATAAAGAAAGCGTGCATACATGCTCTCGCACGAATTTAAAAGGTGTTCCCTCTCTGGAAGTGGATTTTAAAAAATTTGTGAAAGTCTTCCACTATACCTTTATCTAGGCTATTCTAATATGACCAAGGTGAGATATCGTCACCAGTCTTCTGTTACGTTTAATGGATTCCCCCCTCTGCATACATCTAAACACATCAGCACCTCTGATCAGCTGCCCTGCACCTGCTGAAAAAAAAATCTTATGACCCTGTAACCCCCATGTCCCACCAGCTGTGATGTTAAAAAATATGATCTATTTTTACTCCACAATTTCAAAGACAGATGCTATTTCTGTTACGTCCCAGTTCTGCACTACTTTGTATTGATTTGGCTCAATGTGAAAATGTTGACATATATAAATTCACTGTAAAGGCAACACTTTAACTGAATTATTCATTTGTAACGACTGAATAAAAACAGTATACATATGATTGCTTTTTATTAGCTGCCTAAGGGAAAACATATCTTTCTTATCAAACTCATCAAAATGATTTACTCTGTCAGGCTGATAGTTTTATCTGTCTTTTGTGGACACTTGAAAGTATATAAGCTTAATGTGCCCATTTCTCTTTTATAGACTTCATTCAGGAACAACTTTAAAACCAGCAGACAGTTGGTGAAAATGAGAATCATTAGTAGTCATGTTGTGGCTGACTGTAAAGAAATGATAGAAACTTCAAACTGACTGAGTTCATGCGTCATGAGGTCTGTAACACACCAGGAAGCTCTTCGGGTTAAAAGCATAAGCCATGAGGTGGGGGTTAAGCAGGATGCCACTTTATCCCAGACTAACCATGATTTGGGGCTGTTTTGGAGCAGATTCACATAGAGGCCAATAAGAACATGCTCGTCAGCAAGTCTATCGGCAACGTCGAGGTTGTAGTTCAATCTGGAACAGCGCAGGGTTTCACAAAACATAAAACATTATGTTACACAGGTGACAACAAGAGGGTGAGTCAGAGGGGGAGGGGAGGGGGGAAACTAAGGGAGGAAAATGCACAACAAAAGAGAAGAGGAGGAGGGTGGCTGAAAAACAACTATTCATGGGTGACTAGAGAGAAACAAGGCCACATTATATGGGGGAGAACCACTAGAGGCTGGGAGCACAATTGAAGACAGCAGAGAAACTGACTCTAAAAGCTGAAAAGCTATCATACATATTTTCAGCTATGCACATCTATAAATCACATTAAACATGCAGACTTTTTTGATTGAGTTACAATATTTACTGCAGCTTTATCAAAAACATTTTCAACCACTAAAGAAACCAAGTCCGCAACCATTAGGTGCTAGAAGAAAGTTAGTCTCTTTAGAAAGTTGTGACTACATCAAAAGCTAACCTTTCATGCATATCAGACTCTCTCTCCTCTAACCACCCTGCAAATCCCTTTGCTGGACTTTTTTAGATTTACCAAAACAGCATCTCTACCAACGCATGTAAAAGGCATCCAGAATTATTGATTATTTTATTTTACTGCTATATATTTCATATTCAAGAAAAGCTTTTACAGTGAACACACTATGATGAAGACGTCATCATGATATTAGACTGAGCTGACCACATCCAGCCAGTGAAACTCCTAAAAAGTAAAGGACATGAAGTTTTTTTGAGGTTCAAGGACTCCCAAGTGCTGCAAAAAATGTGTACTTTACTCATTTATTTGCTGACAGCAGAAAAATTCCTCAAAAACAGCTGCTTTGGGTCAAATCCGTGATATTTGAGTCAATTTGACTCTTTTTAGACTTTTTAGAGAGGGACTAAATGTAATGTGGTTATGAGAACAGATTTTCCTGCGTACCTCCTGAGCCACTGAAAGCACTCTCTTTAACTTAAAAATAAACCATAAATAGCAGAATATATTCATTGTAATGACTCAGTTGCATGTTTTGTGAGTTTTAGGTAATTCTAACTAAATATTTAAAGCTGGGGAAACCCGTCACTCAGTGGCAATAGTTGATGATACTTTGTGGGATTGATTCCAGCTTCCTATTAGTCCCTTCTATAACCAAACTGGCAGAAAGAACGGAAGTCTACATTTGGATTAATACACATTATCCAATAATAAGATACAATATCCTTCCAAATTAAAAAAAATAATAATAATATTGATTTCAAACCATATATATAATGAAGTGCACATATTTGCACTAATTTTACAGTGAAACGTGAACAACCTCCTTTATTTTAACACCCACTATCATTGGTCTGAGTTGTGCACAGTGTAATCCATTGTTTCTCCTCATCCCACCTGTTGCTGCACACTCCTGGCCAGCTGGCTAAAATGTTTCTCTCTTGAGAACAATCATCTAAACCTTCCTACTTTCAATTTGTATTACTTTACTGAAAAAGACACTTTAGATGTTGTCTTTGTTTATGCTCTACATTAGTTTGCGCATGCATCTGCAGCAGTTAGGCTTTTCTCATCTGCACGCTCGTGTGACTTACCCTTTCCCTTTTAACAGCTGTGGAGCAGCACCAAACAGGAACTTTTTTTGCCAAGGATCGTTATTGTGGCTGTAAGGCAAGCCATTTATATTCAACTTTATGGTGAACAACAAATGGTAGCACACTAGAGATTGCACACACAAACACACACACACACAAGTTGGCAAATAAAGGAGTGAACACAAAAGATTGTGTGGGTCACAGGGCCTGAAGGGAACAGGGCACACTGAAAAGATCTGCCGTAGAATCCAGGACAACCATTGTTATCCAGGCTATACTCACTTTTTGGTGGAGTAAGGGTTCCCTGACGTAGGCATGGAGTGGGACAGTGAGTAGTCGTTGGTTATATTCACTGGTCTTGGTGGCCTGCATGAAAAACCAATACTATTTCTAATCCGGTCTCAAGAAGACAAACAGTAAACTGGTGTTTTGTTCTTTAAAGATTCATTTTACAGTCTTGTGGATTTCTTTTTAAGCGCATTATTCTGATTTCTATTCCTATAGACTTTCTGCATATATAGCAACATGAAAACAGACATGATAAGTCATGCATGAGGGGTATTGAATGGCACAAGTTCACACAGTGAATGTCAGTAAAAGACCAGAAAATATATGAGTGTGAGACAAAAAAGTAAAAATGTAATCAACACAAACTCACCACGTGTCTCTATTTTGAGGAAAGTATAGAGGAAAGAGAAGAACACTTTATTACAATCTGGCAAGGACTGCAAAACAAGATTTAAGTTCTTGCAGTGGTTCAGCACATATCAAGTTTTCTTCTGGTTTAGTTTTTATAAGGCAAGCAAAAAGACTTTTAAACACTAATATCTATACATTTGAAACTATACAATAAATTTAAAAACGTAGGACACCCTGTGCCCGCCTGTGTGTTTTTCTAACATATTTGGCTGCATGGTTATTTAATATTTATTCAAAAATTGATATCCATGTATTCATGTTCATAATTAATGATGAGGAAAATATCTTTCAAATTCTTCTATAAAATACAAAAGGAAATATTTCTGCATGTAACAAACCAGCATATCCTGATATTGATTCATTCTTAACTCACTGCATGTATTAAAGCTTAGAAAATCATGAATTTGTATTTTTTATAACAGGCTCCCCACTTTAAATAGATTTAAATAGCTATGAGAAAGAATCTGGAAGATTGTTAGTCTGATAAGTGATTAAAATGCAAATAATTAATTTCAAATCAATCAATTCCATGTAAGGAAAACAGAGGAACTGCATCAGAAAAACATAGAAAACAACTTCCAACACCCCCAGTCTCACTGTCAAAGCAAGTTCTGCCTAAATGTAGACAGCAAAATGCAAAAAGAAGTATCCTTATATACTAGAACAGACTTATTTTAAGAAAGGTTGTGATTGTACAATTAAAAAAGCTGCTTTTATCTTTCTCAGGTGTTTTAAGAGTTTAGTGATAATAAAAAGAGAGTGGAAATTGCTGTTTTAACAAATGAATAAACAGATGCTTTAATTACATTTTTTAATGCATATGAAAATAAAATGAACAGTGTTAAATGCTTGTTCCTTTTTGTATTTTTTTTAATGTTTTTTAGTTGCATAGGCTTTTGGCCAAGAAATATTAAAAGGGTGTAAACGTGTCCTTTACTGTCAGTGTTTAGTGGTTTATTTTCTCATATCACTAACAAAATAAACCAATCTAATAAAAACATGAAAGCTTTGTAAAAAAATTGATTAAACTCCTACTTTAAAGCAGTTAAGGATCATAATCAGTTGAAGTATAAATAGTAAACATTTTAAAACTGAGGATTAAAGACTAAGAAACTTCACTTCAAGGTACAAAAAAATAAATAAAGAGGGGATGGACTTACACAACGTGAGCGAGGTTGAGAGGTTTCTCTGGTATGTCAGGAAACATGGGGTGAAGGGGCTCTCTGCTGGATGCACAGCTCAATGACTTACTGAGGACATGGGATAACTTCTTAGCTGGGGATTTCTAAAGAAAAACCAGGAGAAAAAAAAAACATGACAGCAGTAGGGTGATACTGTCACCTGCATCCTTGTAAAGAGGTGAAGCAGAACAAAAATAGCCACCTTGAATGGTTCAATGCAGACACACCTTCCTTAGCTAGCTCCCTCCCCTCCTCCCGTTTTCTTTCCTTACCCATGACGTGTACTCCTTCATTTGGTGCTGGTTGCTATGGGAACCACTGGCATGCCCCCTCCAGAAGCAGTCCTGACAGAGCTGGTAATTATGACATTGCTGGCAGCGGTAGCGGAAGCCCATCATACTCTCAGTATGGCAGTAGGAGCACTCGACCGGGTGAAACACTGCAGGGAGGAGGAGTCAGACAAACACACACATACGCATGAACACACAAGCATGTGTGACAATAATTTAGATATTTAGACGCTGCAGAGAAAATAGAATTTTTCTTTTTCTTTGGAAGAGACATGTGATGACATGGAGCATGCTTTGTTGACTCTGCATAGTATAAACAATTACAAACAGCCCTGTGTCTATATGTGTTGACAGTGTTTCTTCTACTAACATGGATGATACTGGGAATGATGAAATAAAAACAAACATTTGTACTTATAAAGTGCATGTAATGTCCATGCGGTGCTCGCTTCACTGTGTGTTTGCTTGACTAATTACGTCACTATGATACAAAGCTTAACTTTAACGCCTTTGAGCTTCCCCGCTAAGTTTCCGTAATGTTTCTTACCGTTCTCAACATTAGCGAGCCGATGCATGAGAGGCAACCACACCAAACACTGAGGGGGCGGGTCTGACATCAGCGTATCAAGGAATGTGTTGAGGGAGACCTTTTTCTGTTGACATTCAGCGGAAGGGAGTGAAAAAGATTATCTAGAGAGTCATTGCAGAAGTACTCACAGGCCTTGAACCTCTCCACATTTGCAACACTACAACTCCACATTTCCCTTCAGCTGTATTTTAAGTGAAATACAAACACAGCGCATGATTAAAAGGTAAAAAAAACAACAAAAAAATGGTTTTCATTTTCCTATTTTCCAATGAAAACTCTGTCACAGTTGCGTTCATTTATATTCAGCCCCTTTTACTCTGATGTCACTATATAAAACGGGTGAATCCCACTGTATTGAAAGAAAGCAATCAAGATGCTAACGGTCATGACGATGCTGAGAAAATTAGCATATGATGAATAATTGGTTTAGGGGACTTTTTTGAAGGGAGGGAAATGAAAACGATCGACAAAAGAAAGGAAATAAAGAAAATACCTTGCTAGGTACAGTGCAAACTATCACATGGAACTATGTGCTTTGGTCTTAAAAGACCATTTCTGTAAAAATGATGCTGTAATTTGTTTGGATATAATATGAAAACCCACAAAAATAAGTGATGAATAAAGACTCACCTGCTGAGTGAAACATGCCCGTGCAGCTTGCTCGGTGTAGCCAAAAGAAGGTCCCTCAAACACCGCCATGGGTAATTTCAGAACCTCTCGCAGAAACTGGTCAAACTGCGAGTGCACCATTATTCCAGCAGAATCTGATATCTGGGAAAATATATCTGGAAACAATGAGGGGTAAACAGACTATGAATTAATTCAACTAATTGTCAGTTCCCACTGCAGTTGGCTAATTACAGAATCATACAGCACAATTATCCCACTTGGGTCTGTAAACAAATCAAAGTGAAGCAATTACAATGATATGCCCGCCCTCTTCATTTTCTCTTACAAGCTGCAACTCCCACAGATTTTTTGCATTATGCAATAAACCCTAACTTATGTCAAAGTGAGTAATGACTTTTTGTTGAGCATGAGAAGGAAAGAACTGGTAAAACTACGCACTAAACAGACAGATATGCATAAAGCATCTTCTTGCATTGAAGGTTCTATGAGAGCATAGAAATTCATTATGGGACATTTTCACAGGAATAATGGGTGAGTATAGTGTGTTCACAAATACAAGCACAGTGACTTTCTTACATCTTAATTTGTCCATAATTTTCCCTCCACATATCGAGCCAAGGGCCATCTTTGCAGCAAAAACAGATATTTTGCCATGACCTTCCCTAGAACAAAGATACAAAAATAAAACACACTCCTTTCGTCATACATTGAAACATTACAGGAGACAAGTTGGGGAACAGTAGATGTCAAGATTTTGTGTAAAATTAATTTGCTGAGATCAAAAACCTTGGGTGTGAAATTATACTCCAGGACTGGCCAACTGTCAGGTGACACATTACTCACTGGTCATAGGCTGCCAGCAGGAAGTTGAGCAGCAAGCTGGCGGACTGCTCCACTATGATCTGGTGAGTAGTTGGCATGCGCTTGTTAAGTTGGTAGAAGAGGGTGGACAGTACCACTTCAAGACGAGCCACAGCGAGCTCAGCGTTGAGGTCCATGGTGTTCAAACCATTCTCTCGGAAAGCCTCAATGACGTTCCAAATATCAACCAAATGTACTGGAAATGGAAGCAAAATGTAAGAACTTTACCCAACGGCACCGTGGAGTTCGACATCCTGTGTGTCAGACTTACGGTTGCATTTCTTCTGCACAAAGCGGAGTTTGCAAGCTGTTCTGTATGTTGACAAGCGTATAGAGTCCAAATCCTGTGCCCCTGAAAACGAGAACATCAGGAAGTAGCAATGAGGTAATGAACAGATAAAAAGATATGGGTCTCAAAGGGTTTATACAGTGTCAGCAGATCAGATGATCAGACCTTAACCATGCCTCTGTTTGACAAAGTAACTCAATTCACAATTTTTATAGAAGCATAAGATGAAGATCAAAACTGACATTTAAAGCTCACTTAAGGGAGTACAGAAAGCTGCACAATGTGCTTCTTTTTGAGGATGCAGACAAATCTGCTTTATTTCAAATTAGGGATGCACTTATAGAAAAACATTGTATTCCTATAAATGCAATATTGCAATAGATGCAGTCAAACTGGTTTTCTTAAGTCCAGCAGATGCAAGCCATTCTTCATTTATTTTGCTACCGTTTATAAGTTTCCTCTCCTTGGGAACAAACTACATTGGCCAAGGGGTGCAAACGCCCTGCAAATACGGCTTTAGTGGGTCATCTTAGTGCTGGTCAATATGACCCCAGATCAATATCACGATAAATTGGGCAGTTTTACTTCAATAACGATAAATGCACTATCAATGCTCCGGCTCCTCTATCAGAAATAAAGGCATGTACAAGAAATGCAACTGATCTATTTATAACTTATTTATTGAATAAATCACATTACATATTACTTTCAATCAAATATTAAAGTATTGTACCCATTCAGATTTAAACATTCAACAATGTCTCATTGAACAGCTGTAAAATGTTACCTCTCCTGCAAACATTTTTGCGCAAAGGTAATGTAGCCTTTTGCCAATCATTGAACTCAACTGCATGGTTATGTTGCAGGTGGTGGAAGAGGCTAAATGTATAACGCTGGGTATTTCCAACAGTTTTCAGACAAACTTTGCGTTTTGTGTTCTTTTGCACAACATCTATGGCATAATTTTGGTGCCACCAAACTGAGCATGCAGTGAGAACAATGTACATTGTTCAAAATCTCGTACAGCCTCACTCAAAACCAGTCTGCCGCATGCTCAACTCTGACTACGCGCTCTCGACTTCTTCTCTGCGTGCTCAGCCTCATCTCTGCTCTCACTGGGCTCCAAAGGATTAACTGATGTAATTTCGTTTACAGTTGTGTTAGACGCTTCCTCACTGGACCATTGTTTTTATTTACGCTTCTGATTGGATCGGTGGAGTCATTTGATTACACACCTGTTGCTGTGTCTTAATGGGGAAAGAAATACCAGCCAGCAGCGAACACAGGGACAATGGCAGGATTATGTTTATTTCTATTACCAACATGGGAAAATTGTTGCAGGTTATCGTAATGGACGATGGTAATAGTAAAAATCCGGTTTATCGCCTAGGCCTAAGTCATGTCTCACGTGAGATGTTAATTTTGTTCCCCTATTGATCTGGAGAACTTCTGTTCTCCAGCACTAGCTGGCAGCTTTTCTTAACTTTTAGTATATTTTGCTACTTGCAGCATTCTTATTTAGCATGTTTTGTGTAAGTAACATTTGTATATTTGCAGCTCATTTATGTTTGTAGAGCGTTTGCACTTTGCTGTTGCCTATTTTCTGTGACTAAAGCATTTATTTTTTGGCAGCGTTTTACCTTTTTTTTTTGTGTGAAAGTTGAATTTTTGTTTCACCTATTTGTGATTACATTTTCTGCACATTCATGCATTTGCATTTCTTAACCATTGTAACAAGAGATTCCCCCTTTATATAAAGTGTGCAATTAGAAGGAAGGTCAAACTCTGATTTGTACACATTTAGGTTTTAGTGTAGGCCTATATCAGCATATATGTCTATTTTTCTTTATTTTAAGCTTAAGTATAATGAGTTGATAAAAAGATTGTAAAGGTTTATATGCAGTTTAGGAAGTAGAAGAAGGGGTAAACCCTTGTTTTTACAAATCTAAAGATGAAGAGTGAAATGTCCTGATTAGGATGTATTTGAGCTCTTAATTTAACCCACTACACTAAAATGATAGGCAAATATAAGATGCAATTAGGTACAAGAAAAAGGTGAAGGATAAGGATTGTATTATTATACACTCTAAACCTGTCCCCACTGTGGTTTCTATCAGCTGAATCAATCAGGTTGACATCAACATATACTTTTGGTCTTCATGATATTTGCTTTATTTGAAAAATATAAAGAAAAAAATTCTGCAGTTTTTACGGTTAAAGCATGAAACACTCCACCATCCATCACATTGAACTGTGTCCCTGAGCACTTACTCATCTCGACATACAGCTGCCTTCTGTCTGCCATGTTGTCACCTCTCCACCTGCAATCTTCAATCATTCTGTTAAAAGACAGAGAAAGTCATTACATTTTCAGCTTTGCAATATTTAATCAAACAGGCCAACCAAACAACATTTAGAGGCTTCAAAAGCCTTTTGTACATCTTCTGGAAATGATTAAGTATACAAGAACATATCATTAGTTAGAAAAACAGATGGATCAAATACTTGAAAGCACAGTTTACGTTGTTAAGGCATATCATTATGACCACTGGCAGATGAAATGAACAACTTTTATTATTTTTCACCTTGGAACCTCCAGGATATTCTAGGAAAGGCAAGGTATGCTTATTTATATACCGTATTTCTGTAGAACGACAATTCAAAGTGCTGTACAGGAGAAGAAAAAGAAGAGTACATTGCAGTGGTATATAGGCAACACAAATAATTAAAGAGAAAAAAAATATAGATTATAAAATTGTTGAATAGAATAGAATAGAACAGAATAGAACAGAATAGAATAAAAATTGTGGTGTTGCAGCAGCAAAAGTTTACAGCAGAAGTGGTCACAAAGTATGGACCTTAGAAAAGTGTATAAAAATAACAGATAAGAAAATAAACAACCATTTTTTTTTTACAATATAAATACTCTTTATCAGGAGAATAAAAAATCAATAAACAGCTGTGGACATATTTAAAGTAATGGATATGTGAAAATAGCAGCAACACCAGAGATGTGCAAAAAATGACAGCAGCATGTTATTTAACTGACTAAGCCAGAAATTGTGCAAAAATCAGCTTGAATGTAACAACTTATTGAGGTTGTTGGGAACAGTGATGGTTGAAAAGTCTTCCAGCTGCTGGGAGGAAGGATCTGTGATAACGCTCCTTGGTGCATTTAGGGAGCAGCAATCTGTCAGTGAAGGAGTTTTCCAGTTCAGCAACAGCTTCATGCATGGGGTGGTAAACATGATCTAACAGAGATTTTATTTTAGTCGGGGTCCCTTCATTTTTTATCAGAGTGCTTGATAAAAAAAACAAAAAACAATTGATTTAAAGCAAGTTACAATTTCAGTGCTTTGGTTCTGGGTATGCAGAGTGGATTTGAGTCAGAAGACTTGAGAAGTATGGGCAGTTAATACACTGAATGTATTTTGGAGCTATGCCATTCAGTGAGTTACAAACTTACAAAAGTATTTCAAAGTCTATTCATTGAGTTGGGGGCAGCCAGTGTAACGACTATAGAACTGGGGTGATGTGCTCACCTTCCTTAATTTTAGGGAGAAGCCAGGCAGCATCGTTCTGGATCAGAGCTAGCTGATCTAGCTGATCAACTTTTTCAGCAGACCTGTGAAGAGGACCTGTGAACTGTTGCAGTAAGGAATTCTGCTATAGATTAGGATATAAACTATATATATACATTTTTCTGGAGAGGTTTTTTTTTTTTAGGCGATAGAAGGCTGACTTTGTAACTGCTTCCATGTGCCTCTGAAGGTTCAGGTCTGAGTCCATTAATGCACCCAGATTTCAAACCTGATTGGTGGTTGATTAACTGAAACCGTGAGCTTATTTTCCTTATTATTACTTCAGTCTTGTTTTGAATCAGCTGAAAAAGTTTTTTAAGACATCCATGCATTGATTTCTTGAATTTACTAGTGATTGAGTGGGTAAAGTCACCTAGTGACATTGCAATATACAGCGATGTGTTGTCTCACTTGCGTAGAAATGATAACTTTCAAGCAAAAGGTAAAAAGCTAACATATTAAACAAAAAATGGCTAATGATAAGCATTTGAGGGAATTACACAAGAGTGAAACTGTGATAGTTGACTGAGTGATGGATATGCAAAATTGCTGCTTTTTATGTACAAATCCTTTCATCAACAGCATCACTCGAAATTGTCCCACCAGAACAGAGAGTACTGAAAAGATAAAAATACAGCAGGATCACGGCAGCTCCCTATTATACTAGTGCTGTACTCAAAAATTGGGGATTTCCATTTGTAATGGTTATTGGTAACAATTTGTACACTAATTAGGCAGAGGGTAGCACTGATACAGCCATTTCCTTGATGGCTACTTATGTTTACCAGGAAACACCAAAGCAATGTCTTGAAATGCAATTACCAAACCATCAAGGATCACATTGGATGGTGGTTTTAAACCCTACAAAATTAAATGTGGTTTGACTAAATAGAGCCATTTGCAGGTACCAATAGTTAGCAGTGGGAGGGAGATTGTATTCAACATGGTAACTGGATTACTGGGTTCCTTGATGGGTGATAATGAGTGGTTTGTGACTTTAAACATTTTTGTGTAACTCATTATCATTACTCACCAGTCTACCCAGTTGTTTTTGTCACTGTTTCTTTAGAATGTTGCATCTATGTACTGTATGTGTTGTGCTGCACTTGAGTGATTTTATTCATTTCAAAATTTCTTTTAACATGCAAGACGTTTTCTTCTACCATACCATCTGTTGCAACAACACCAACTCTGACTCAGCCAATGTTCAGTACAGGACAAAACCACACCCCATCCACGTTCAGTTATTTCAAGGACATTAAAATGTATATATTTTGGGTTATTTGCTGTGAATTGTATGAGGCGGTGCTTATTTTGCTTAATGTAGATATTTATTTATTTTGCATCATTCAGTAATCTGAATGATTTCAATCTTATCTGAGCATAGTCTTGTGAAGGAGTTAATAGTGCAAGTCAAGCATTTGTCATTTAACATTTATGTGCATTAAGTTATACTGGGCTTTAATTTGTTCTAACCAACTACTTCTAACCAACTACTTCACGGTTCATGATTTCATAGAACTATTATCTTTATTTGCAGCATCACACAGTTGTGATGCTAACACCAAAAAAAGTCAAGTACTTCACACCATGTTCTCCATTGTTTAGTTGTGTTTGTGTCAAATACAAATCGTCTGTTACTCTTCGGACTCTTGGTATGACAACACCACCCACGATGAGGTGTTACTCAGATGCAAAAAAATTGACCAAACCAATTTGACTTACCATGAGTACCCCCTCAGTATCAAAAGTATTGATAATTGTCCAATAATGGAGTGTACAATAACTGAAATAAAAACTATTTCAAGACTGATGTCTGTGAGAAACAGAACGGCGAGATACAGATGATCTTTTGTCCCGGCCTCCATAAATGTCTCTTGAAGGACAGGAGTTTTTTCATTATTATTATCATTATTATTATCTTTTTAATTTAATTGTATGTTTTTTATCTTATTTTATACATTTTTATCTTTGCTATTTGAGTAAGTGAATTTCCCCTTTGGGGATTAATAAAATAACTATCTATCTATCTATCTGTCCGTCCGTCCGTCAGTCCATCCATCTGGCCACCCATCCATGTAACTTAATCGTTTATGCTTTCCATCTAAAAATTAAAAAAACTACATAACTATGTTAACCGGAAGTTTGTAAGGAATCAAAATAATTACAAAATAAAATCCTATAATAAACCTGTATCTATAAATCTGAATTCCACTGAGTAACTCTTATAATCTGATTAAAAACTTAATGAATTGGGGAAAAAAAAAAAAAATTATAGTCAGACTTACTTAATTCATTTTACTTTTTTTTCAAAGTACACACCTGAGCTGCTTTGATGAGCTCCAATAGCTCAGTGTGAAAAACAGCTGATACCAGGATGCTCTCTACATCCAGTTTGTTCCTCGGCTTGGTTTGGATGTGTGTCAAAGCTGAAGGAGAACTCAAAGATATAAGAAAAAATTACGTTTGGTTGATAAAAGCTTGTTAAATTGTTCAATTGGGTCCCCACAAAGCAGATCCCAGCCCTATTTTATTACCCGAGAAATAAAAAATGCAATGTACCCTTTGCAATGCACAGTAAGGATCAGAAAGGGTACATGTGCCCCTGGTTGGGAAACACTGGCCTAGAAGACCTGGGCCTTTCCTTGCAATGTTGCTTTTCTAAAGTTAAACAGCTATAAAAGCTATAATAAGGTATGTAACCAAATGTTTTGCAACAAACCAAAACTACATGGATGCTCTAAACATTATATATTTTATCTTAATTTTCCACATGGAGTTGCAACTTAAAGGGGGCCGAGATGGCTCTACAGTTCCTTTTGCTCCAGTGCCCTACAGTAAACCGCTCTTGACCCTTAGAAGCATTTTAAGGACATCTACTATTAGAATAAGTCTCACAGCAATGGTTATCAGAAATGATTAAAAGTTAGACAGGGACAAGACTTTGAAAAGTAACGGAGCAGCAGAGAGAGTGCTCACACCATGGCTCATTGCACACTGTCCCAGGCAATCTAATACACCTAGTCATGTGGTTTGTTGCCATGGCAGTAAAGATCCCAGTTGCTCTGTACGTAAACACACACTCACATTCACACTGATAACACCTCCCACAGAATACCAAAATAAAATACATAAAAAAAAGAAAAAATATAAATGTCTTTTGTGTGATAACACTAGGCAGGCCGAAAGCTAAACTTTTTGGACAAGTAAGTCGAAGACACTTCTGCAAGACAATCAGTCTGGCTTGCTGCTTGATTTACTGTAAGAGAAACTGGTAGGCTTAAATATAATATAAGAAAGACGCAGGCATTGGTGTTCAACTTATTTTAAGGTTTCCTTCTTATAAGAAAAGGATAAGTGCAGTAGCACTTTTTATCTTTGGAAGATGACTGGCACTGAGCGTCAACAGGTGGAGGAAGACCAAACACTTGCATAATGCTGAAAGGAACCAGAAAAAAACTCTGGCTATCTCAATAAACAGCAGGAATTGTGAGAGATTTATCATTTTTATGACATATACAGACAAAAAACCTGCTGGAAAAAAAAAGTGTGATGATACAGTTATATAAACTTTACTACCAATAAATGGTAAATGGCATGTACTCATTAAATCATTAAGGCACCCACTCACAATGATGGTAGCAAGCTACATTGTAGTCACAGCTGCCCTGGGGCTCACTGACAGAAGCGGGTCTGCCGTACACTGGCGCCACAGTCTGTCTGACCACCATCAATAGGTAATACAGGTGAAGTGTGTT